AGGCGCTAATACCGTTTCCCCAGGAAGTCACCGTTTCCAGTGGTCCATGTTAAAGCGCACTTGAAATTGAGTTACGGTCTATGTTGTTTTTCCCCGGAGTATATTCTTTCCTTACTATCCTTACTCTAGTGTTTTTCCTGGTCCATGGATGTCCATGGTTTCATTTGGGCTTCACTAGTGCGAGTCTTGCGCCTCCCTGACCTGCATTCGACAGCTTTGACTCTGCTGGGAAGACATGTCAAACCAAACATCCTATTATGTCCTATGGGACGCCACGGTGTGGACCTGGATACCACTTCAGTGGGAGCTCCCTTGCGCTGCTTCCTACCATCCCGTACCAGGTGGTCGCTGCTTCCTTCCATCCCACGTGGTCGCTCCTGCGAACGAAAGTGGCACTACACGACAGCCGTTTTGGACGGGGACATCTGGTGGATGCATTCCTCCACTGGTGCTCCGGAGCTGCCGTCTGTCATCGTTGAACATGGATGCCATCACCTTGGAGTCAGAGCTGGTGGATGTATGAGGCTGCCCTCCTTTGACACGATGACCAAAAACACACGACATAAGATCCTAACTTAGATCCTCCTTGGAAGGACATTTGGTTGCAGTCTTTGGACACGCTCAGCCACTGGTGCTCGATCACACGGTCAGTGACCCACAATACACCCGGCAGAAGACGCAAGGGAAGCGTCATGGCCAAGCTCACAAGACATTCTGTTCACATGAGCGGTGCCTCAAACATCTGACCGTGTTCCAGGTCTCTCAGTGCCGCTGAGGTTTCCTTCGTGGAATTAAAGCAAGTAACTTGCAAGTTGGATAAAGTGAGAGCAACTCTTCTTTGGCACCTTGAGCTCGACTATCTGAACATTGGCAACAACCTGAGGACTTGGCTGGGGAACCCCACAATTCAATTTGCTGAGTGTGCACATGGAACATGGCTAGGACTTGGATGCTAGATTTGTCCATGTCAGCAGCAATATTCCATTTTGCACCGGATGGTGAAGCAGCATCAAAGAAGACAGGCCTCGTTCCTTCTCTTCGCCTGGTCTCCGCAGAGAAAGTTTCTTGTGGACCACATTTGCCACGTCTGCAGATGTCCACACAGATCTGCAGGATTGCGAGCGCATGGAAAAAACACTACAAGGCTGCTGCTGATGCTGATGTTGACGAGGATGACGACGACGATGACGACTGACGACTGATGTCTGCTGATTGCTGATTGCAAAGGTGCTGGCGCGGTTTCCGGCCCGTTTGGACAAATATAACAATATAATACTGTAATTAATGTTATAGTTATAGTATTACATATATAACATATTTTTACAATGTGTTGTATATAGAACATAACCATATGTGATATGTAATTATAGCTAATTTATATAGTATTTTAGACAAACAATTGTTGTCAAGCAAGGACCGGTCGAGGGTGCGAAGTTTGTCCATGATCCTGCAGCAGTCGGCCAATGTGTCTGAAGCCTTGTCCAAGACTGCTGCTGCTCACTTGACCATTTCCAAAACGGCGCAAAGCGTTATTTTCGTCGCTCTCACGATGGGCGGACTGCCCCAACAAAGTTGTTGAGGGGAGTATATAAAGGCACCTGCTCTGCCAGAGTGACTGCCGAACTTTTGAGCAGCAATTCAAATCTGGCCACCAAACTGTTCCTGCGTACATTGACACAGGTCTGCTCATTTTGACATATTCATTGTGCACGTAGGGCTCAAGGCCTCAAACCCTGGTCAGTTGATGGCATTTTGCATCGGCTCTAGTCCATTGCGAGTCCTCCATGATGTCTAGCAAGGAGGCATGGCAGCTGGCATTGAGGCCAACTGCCATTATCTTCTGCCGGATTGGGACTTTCAATCACGTCTCTTCGTAAGATGTTTGAATGCCGAGGTTTGAGACACACTTCTCACTTCTCTCTTTGCAGCTTTCGTGGAAGCTTCATAAATACACATCTCTGGTCCCATGCTCACCTCATGATACTTGACTTCTGAGCTGCCCAGCAGTTTAAGCACAACCACGGCCCTGATGGAGGACCGATGCTGCGAAGGGCGCTTCGCCCCGCAGACAAGTGGCTCATGTGGCACTTGGAACAGCTCACTTTCAGGCTTGAGACCAAGTTCTTGCACAAAGACTTCCCACTTTCTGAAAGACACTCGAAGCTCTCTGGCTGCAAGGCACCTCGGTGATAAGTCCAATAGCAGGTACCAAAAAATGGGATGCTGCCGCCATCCTTCAGAACATCCTCGCTGTAGCTTGGCCCTGAGTAGTGTACTGATAGCATTGGACGAGCAGTTTTAGAGTTGTTCTCGGTACCGCCATGCCAAACTCGCATGTCCATGATAATGGCAGTCCCAGCGGGGCAAACCAAGTGGGTGCTGGGAGGTTCTTGATCTGGCGGTGGCACGTCCTTCAAAATGATTCAACATGCAAGAGTATGATAACTAAAACCCCGTGTACAGGAGGAGTCACTTACACTCTAGTAGTCGCCTTGCAACAAACAAATCTGTAATAGTGTGGAGTGATCATCCCCCTGAACCGTAGGCAAGCGGCTAGCTGCGGGCAATCCCTGCGTCAAACCAAAACCAAAAGAATGATCAGTGGCTCCGCATGAGGAATGACTGGGGCACAATTGCCAAGGAAGCAAGAGGTTGCCATCATTGGAGGTAATTACATAGTTAATGTTTAGTTAATGTTGGATCCTGATTAGTAAAGGGACCCTCCATAATGCTAAATTATTCAAAAAACATCTGACCCCCATGACTGGTTTAAGGGTCCTCTATTATATTCTATTATGCTAATTATTTTTTAGGATCCGAATCGTTTATTATCTGACAAAGAGTTATCTGACAAAGAATAAGTGTTCTAATTCCTTCTGAACCTTACACAGAACCTGAGAAAGGACAATTACAGTAGTAATAACTATATATAATCTACGAATTGAACAGAAAGGACAATGAATACTACAAGCGATTGCAAAAGCAATCCTCCCAGGAACCCACATTTGTTTTGGCGCCAATTTTCTTATAGAGGACTCCTCTATTTGTTTAGAGGGGGGACCCCCTTTTACTCATCAGGATCCAGCATTAGGTGCTTCAGGTAAAACCGCGGATTGCGACCAACGCACGGTTTCATTGTGGGACGAACACTAGTCGGTCAAAGGAGTTCGGATGTCGACATGTGAATTTGGCCCCTGATGAATCCATTTCGAAGGGAGGCTCTCACTAGGTTGGAGGCCATCGCTATTAGGTTGGAGGCCATCGCTACTACGGTGGAAGCCGGGAGGCTCTCACTCCAAAAGAGCCTCATGGATGTCCTGTTTGGCCGTCAGCTCATGCGTGCCAGGGACGAATCGAGGGGGGCCAACTTTGCGGTCCATATCAACCATCGCAAAGTAGACCTTCACCACAGGTGTAGGCAGTTCCATGAATTTTCTGTCAGGCTGCTCAGGGTCGTAGTAGTTGTAGAGCCTGAAGAGCCCAAGCTAGGAAGATCCAAGAATGTGGAATTCAGCTGCCAAATTTGAGTGTGGGCCAACGGGCCAACAACTGGCGAATGGGAAGCATCCCACAAAAAGGGAAACGAGTCCTTGTTGAAGGTCTTCGGGAACTCACATTATATCTACAGGTTGAAAAAGAGGCGTTGCTAAAAAAAGTTGAAAGAGTTGAGTTCAGGCGCTGATCGGCCACCTCCTTGACCGGAACATCCGCATGAAGATCCTGTTGCTGGGCGCCAGGAAGCGAAGCATCACCCCCAGTGCACTGCACACGGAAGGACTTGGTGCCCCAAAAGGACTCCAGGACTTGGCAAACCTGGCCAAGGTGAAGCCCATTCAAACCCTCGGGCGGGCCGCGCCCTCCCTTTCTTGCCTCCCAAATGAACCGATTCAGATCGATTCACCACAAAAGTAATGGGCCTTTGCCTTAATGGGTTTTGGGTAGGGTACGCGGGTGGACAAATGTTAAAGAGCATTCTTGGTGGGTTGGACACTATTGGACATTGTATGTTCAAGAAATTATCTCCACCTTCTGGAACAGTGTTGGTCAAAAAGAATCTGCCCCACTCGAGTAAACATCACATGTTGAGATCCGGGACAAACTGAAATGATTTGGGGCTGTTCAATGGCTTATGTCTGGCTGCCTGGTCGATGCATTTTGGATTGGCAACTGGAAAGTACTTCAACAATTCAGAATGCTAGCAAATCAGCAGCAAGGAGCCTGTATTGTGGGGTGGGGGCTTCAGGAATACATCACAGGGCCTAGAACCAGGTGACAAATGAGCTGGATAAATGTGGATCTCTGATCACCTCTTCCTGTTGCAGCCTTCTGGTTCAGGGAACATCTCATTTGCCTGGTGCTAAATTACTCCAGGAGCCCGCATCGAAGCAGCAATGTAGATAATGTTGTTTCCAAATCAAAAGTTTTCTTCATAGCTTACAAGATCTATCAATATCTATCAATGTCTTAATACCTTTAAACCAGCGCTTCTATTCTTAACACCTCTTTTCACATCTTTACTCAATTCATTTTTCCAAAAAGTGTGTCAATGTGTGTCAATCTTTTGAGATCCTGAATGCAACTTGGATATTGCACGTGTGATTCCTTTCCACCAACGTATGGTTTCAAGTTTCATCAATCATTGTTCCGCACGGTGAATTCCAGCTTATCTTTCGCACTAACACAATAGCAACGTTTCGCACTAACCAGTGGGAACATGGCCCCTCGGCCCCTTAGGCATATGCTTTCAGTCTCTCTCCCTCTCTCTCTTTAAGAAAATGCATGGCGTACCCATACGAACCATTTACGGGACGGGACGGCCCATCTAGGTTCTCTATTCTAGTGAGGATACTTCATACTTAGCGACCAGCGAAGGAGATATTGAGTTGGCAGGCCAATGGCCACAACAAAAGAGAGATTGAAGAGGTCAAGTCTTGTGAAACATCGTCGTCCTAGACTTGCTGCTCTCCTGTTTCTTCCGTTTTCTTCCCTGACTATCTCCTGCCTTCATGCTTGTTCAATGAATTCACACTGAACAGCAATGGCAGTTGGAACTATTTTGAGCTATATAAAGGTATACAAACGGGCTCACTTCAGCTCTTAGGTGGCAACTTTGGTGACTCAAACTTCCAACTTTAGGAACTTAAGGCTTGATGAATGATAATGGGGAGCCCTTTTTCCAAGCACATTGCCGAGCTGCTGCCGGGCAAGTGGCCAGTTCCAGGGTGCCTGGGACCATGGTTGTCCGCCCCAGGCTGTACCGTCTCTCACCACCTCACGCGAGCTCACGCGGTCAAAGTCGCAACTGGATCTCCCCCTGACGGGTTCATGAATCCTCCAAGCATCAGGCATCCAAAGCCATGTGTCGGTCCCAATAGAAGTGTGGTGGTAAGACAACTCTAAGAGGCATATATGTATGATTATATATATACGGTATCAGTATTGTACCGAGTTCCTTGGTTCCTTCCGGTTTTACGTCTTCCTTATTTCTGAGTTGGTAAAATTCAATAAAATGGACTGCATGGAAATGAACATCAGCATCTTATAAGGCATTGTGACCTCGACTTCTGCCTTTCCTCCGAGCTTCGGTTGCCCCGGGGCTCCGCCCGCGCCACGCGCCGCAGCAGCGCTGCGCTCAAACGCCGTGCCCGACGCAGCACTGTAGGGCCCAGTGCCGCCAAAGCCACAAAACCATCGCGCCGCAGGGCGGCAGCGGCCTGAAAGCAAGGAATCACTGGGAGGAGGCCTGGGATTCCGAACTAGATCGCTAAAGATGCTGGGTCAAGCAAGGCTTTGAGGATGGGTCTTCGCAGCCTCTCTGAGCGCTGCCAAGGCCAAACGCCGGGCTGTGCCCTTTTAGTTCACAATGACTTGTGATCATTCTTTCCCCAAGAGTCAAATTGGGGCATCCTCCGTCCAGTCTAAGCTTGGGGGCTACATCAATAAAATGCCAATACGCCAGAATTGATAATCTACTGGAACAGCGCCAGGAGAAACATCCAACTGTGCCATTGTAAATATATATATATATTAAATGTGTGTGTCTGGTGAGTGTGTATATTCTTCTGGCTTCTGAACTTATTCAATTTTAGAATGCAAACCTTTTGACACAGCCGCACCTGCAAAAGAAGCACCGGCCAACCCCCCCAATAGCATTGTCCACGCAGCTTACAGCCATGTGCCAAGAATATAAGAACGGTAATTCAGGTATGGCAATGCGCACATGATACTACATGATGGCATCTGTCTGTGTACATGTAGTGTATTGCAGTATACCTTTTTGCGATGGTGTGCAAATATCTTGAAATCAAACTGCGGTGCAAAGGAAAAAGAGCATCGTTGAGTGCCTCGCTGGCTCTGTCGCGCTTCAAGTCGAAGATGTGAACACCCTGTCACGGGTGCACAAATCTTTTAAATTCTGTTCAAGAGAGGGAAAACAGCTGTTTGCTCGTTCACTCCCTGCAATTACGTTGCAAACGCGCGAAGGAGGCGATAGGCAAACACGTAACCATCTCTCTACCATCCACACTCATCAAATCCCATGCACAACTGTCTGCCACCACAAGGTCCAGGTCAAGCCTCTGCTTCTGCACGTAGCTCATCCAGGTCCCTCTCAGAATGCACCGAACCCGACTCCAAAGGCTGCAACCATTCCTGCACATTTGCCAGCCCTAAGGCCAGATCATGACTTACCCCACCGAAAGAACCAGAAGAGTATTGAAGAGCAAAGCAATCGCACTGAAGCAAGCAATGAAGTGTTTACCTACTACTTCACGTCCAAGCAAACTGGGAATGTTCTGAAAGCATGTATGTTCTCATGAGTGAACAATGTCACACCTCTAGCAAGTCAGGGGGGTGCGAGGTGTGCTGAGAGCCGTCTGCAGAGCATTCAGTTGCACGAAAGAAGGTCTCGTACTCGTCCAGGTCTTTCTCTTGCCCTGGAAAGCCCAATGGGCCCGATGTGTCAAGAGTCTAGAGGTGTTCGGCTTTCCTGCTGACAGTGGCGGGGAATGTTTTGGAAGACGTACCTACAGCTGGTAGATCAAATTTGCCAGCTTGAACAACACTGCACGGTGGCATGGACACACCCAGTTCCTGGTGAAATGATTTCGAGGAAATGCTGAAATGCAGGAGTTTCTCTCTAAATGTTGAAGAATCCCCTGCAAACATTGAGGAGGAACCAAACAGTTTGAATAATTAACAACAATCGCACTTCATCGTTGAACTCTTTTTGAAATTGTATAAACGTATATAAATGCATTCAAGAATCCTGCCAACCATCTCGCCAGGAGCTGTCGGTCAATTGCATCGGCCAATGCTGCGTGCTGTGTCTGTTCTGCAACTTGCTTTGCAGTCTGTAGGGCAGCAATGTCCTGAAAGGATCTTACACACATACGTATGTATATATAGTTATATAATAGCCACAGAAAGGAATGGACGATCAAGAATCAACTTATAGTTGACTTGGAGATTGGAGCCCTAAAAAGACCCCCAAACATGTATAAGCTCGCATCAAAGTTTAGAAACACTTCCATGACTGGCAACAGGCCTTCCCGCTTTCCGGTCCTGCTTCGCTGCCCGAAAGAGCCGCCTGCACGAGGGCCTCGGCGGCCTGGTTCGAAGACCAGTGGCCAAGGGGCTGCATGCTTCAAATAAAAACAAATGCTTCATGGCACAGCTTGCTCTCCTGGAGTGCCAGCGCGTGGCATACGGTACCCCAAGCCTCAAGGCGGACTATAGAGAAGTCTGGGTTGGTGAATCCCAATGTTGTATTGCCACCTGGAATATACATCCAAAGCCTCCCAACAATCTGAAGCATCTAAGATATTTCCTTACTTCTGCATGAAATCTATAAACACTCCTGAGGCATTGGCCATGGCCTCGCAGCTCCAATTGGATATGGATGCATGAGCGAAGGATAGCCAAGGGACCGGGGTGGCAAAAGACTAGTGTCACCACCAAACATATGTGTTTTTTGTTTATAAAATTAGATATGTTTATATAGATAATATGCACAGTTATGCATCCGGATTCAATGCCAACACCTGCAATTTGTCTGCAAATTACACACGTGGCAGTGCCCTCTTGAAAGAACACTCGCAAATGACTGTGAACGTCTTGCGAGCGTCATCCCTTTGAGCTGGGAAATCGGTGAAGGCGAAGGAATTCAGGTAACACTTGTCAAGCTAGCAGGAGGGCTTCCATCCAAACCCGATCGTGGCACACGCAAACAGTGTTTGACAAACATCTGCGGGAGTGTGCAGCACATTCATTTTCCCTTCAGCCAGAACACAAAGGAATTGACCACGCTGCATCAACTTTTTCACAAGCTGCAGTATGAATGCACTGCTGAACGTCATGCAGCCTTGCGCCTTCTGCAAAGATCTCACTTGGAACATCTGCATCATGCCTTCACATTCGAGCTCACCCTTCTCCGACACGTTGAGAAGCCACCTTGCCACGAGGATCTTTGTCATCTTGGTCTGTCAACTTGCACCTGCAGCCAGCTATTGCCAGTCAAAGCTCGCTGAAGGTACTGTAGTTGACAGAACATGAACATGGCACCTCTCGAGTCTGATGAGGTGTGAAAAGCAGCCGAATATGATGTTAATTATACAATTCTTGATCCATTTGGTGGATTCCAAACTGGCCGCTCTCCCAAAGTGTCAAGCATCAGTTGATTTAGACAAACATTGACTCGGTGGAACTTGCAAAGCAAAAATCTGCATTTTCGCTTTCAGGCTGCCTTTGATTCGCTGTAGCCCATCATTGGGTAACGTCCACCACGGCTGTTTGTATTTCACCTCAGCTTCGAAGGGTTCTGCCATTGGTTTTGCAATGATTTCAGCATGGTTTGGTGCCAGGTGTTGTGCCAGGGCACACATATATGTGACACATCTGAGACCTGCAAGCAAAGATCTTCTTTTGTGTAGCACGCGTCATCGAGGACGCCGGCCAAAGGCCACACCTCAAACACGACCCGTGCATTGGAAGCATCATCGTTTTGAAGACATGACTCAAAGTGCAAATTCTGGTTCAATTGTTACTTCATCGGTTGCAGTACCGTACAGTAGTATATGGGGGTTGTCCAACAAAGCTCTTCTTTTTGAGCTTGTATCGCCGGCCTTTCGCGACCCTTTCGCGTTTGCAGAAAAACCACAGGTGTTCCTTTCGCGCATTGTGATGAGCTTGTTCCATTGCACTGAGTTCACAGTGTTTGGGACATCCAAATCCCTTTTAGTGCGCTGAGAAGGAGGCTAATTACCCTTTGTCAATTCATACTTGAAACAAAGGTTTCAAGGCTTATTTCAAGACCATGGATGGGCAAATGCCCTTCCAGGCAATGCGCTCTTTCGCGGGCCTACCGCCGGCCTTTCGCAGCCCTTTCGCGAAAATCCGTGTTTCTGTTCGGGAAAAAGGATGTGTCATGTATTATGCACATTGTATGTAAGTCTAGGTTGGCACATGTCTTTCGCTGTCCTATCGCCGGCCTTTCGCGGACTGCAGTTTCCCTTTCGCGACATGTTTGTTTTAACAGTTGATCGAAATTCCTTCACTGGCAATAACGGACGGCCCTCATATGCATTGGCTGACCCAGAAAGGATATGGGTGAGCCTTTCCAATCTGATGAAGATTAGCTGCAATATATACTGTAACGGTTTAACAGTGTGCACACTCATAGTCTAATCTCAGCAACAGGGCCTTGCGCAGTCCTGGTAAGCAGCTAGGGATTTTGTACTATTGTACGGAGAGTTGTAGACCTTTTGGATGATTTCCAAGCTATATACACATTGATCACCCACGAAAGCAGCTGCGGACCTCTGCCAAACTTCTGGATATTATATTGCAACAGTTACTGTAAAACTTATATATGCAATAACGAACATAATACGTATGATTATGATACTTGTATCATTTGCTTCCAAGCTGCGGCTCCATCTTCATCGTAGACAATTGTCATGAAAACTCCGCAGTTAGTGCACACATGCCTCCTCGCATGGCTGGTTGTGCGCACCTGTACAGTTGATGGATGTGGCGGCAAAAAAGCTTCGGGCAAAACTCTTACAAGGGAAGAATTGCTGACATGGTCTGTGCTTAGGACTGACAACCACAGGCCAAGAAGTGTCAAGTAAGACTCCAGCAAGTTTCAAGCCATCCTTCAGGGTCATTGCGCATCTTGGGCAAGGTCAAACACCAGCAACTGTTTCATGCCACCATGCTTCTGATAATGCACACGGACAGGCCACACAGTATGAGGCAAGCCGAACTCAGCGACCCAGGATTACACCGCTTTACTTGCATCTGTTTCACGCTTATATAAATGATCTGATTACCCTGTCTTAATGAAGGGACCCCGTGAGGTCTCCTCTGGATTAATCCAAGTGTATTGATTAATTCAAGCCTATCCCCGGAGTGATTAAACGGATGAAATTAATCAGGACAAGGCTTGAAGCACGCACAGTGCTGAGAATCATCGGGTACTTCTTGAGTTCTTTTCAGAAAGTTACAGTAATTGGTGCAGATTGCTTCAGGATCAACATATCACTCGTCAACCTCCCTGAAGGTCCGCCCTACCCAACCCCCTTCTGACAATAAAACTGCTTGACGAAATAGGATTTGTACAAAATCAACAATGAGACTCTATAAAATAGAGTCAAACCATGCCAGAGTGCTATCTCAAAAGCGATTCTCGGTGACATGACCCCAAACAAATCATGCACATGCATTTTAATGGAGGTTGAATGATCATCATTTTATGGTGAATCGCTACCGGGGATGTCAGACTTAATCAAATGGTGGTTGACCCGTTTCTCACCCATACTCTATTGCGGCCACAAAATACTGCAGTCAATCGACTAGTCCTTCTGTTAAAGATGTTAAAGAATTCAAGAGATCTAATTTTACATGAACAAACACAACTATATAACTGATTTATATCAAGTGTCAATTGATTTCTGGCTAAACTATACGGGTCCCCTCTGGATATTCACGCCACTTCGAAAAAAAAGCATTGAGAACTCACCAAGGCACCTTGATTGATCACCTAAGGGAGGAAATCATCATATGGGCCAAAATGCAAAAACAAACAATACAAGTACGGGTAGAGCAATTTCAAGGCTTCGTCAAAGGTGGGCGACTTGCGCATAGAGGGTTCACTGGTCGTCACACTCATCAGTCCTTGAAGGTCCACTTCAATTGCCCTTCCTCGCCGAGCAGGGGGAAGTTCTGGCAAAACGAAACGAACCGAAATGAACTCCGGCAATGAGTTAACCTTGCCAATCCTAGCTGATTAATACACCCAGGTCACATCAGGAGCCTGAAAATGGTGGGCAAGGTATTATCCGAGCTAATATACTCCGGGAGCTCTGTACTTAAGTTTGGTCATGCTAAACAAAAGCTTGGGATTGTCAATGTGGTGTCCACCAGGCATGATACACGACGATATATATATATATAATAATCCCTACCATCTTCTTAAGGGGGGTCCTCTGGAAAATGTAAATTACAGTTTTGGCTGTAAACCACCTCCTAAATGAAAGCCGGCATTTTGTCAATAAGTTGACTTACATGTTAAAAACTGTAATCTTACATTTGGGAGAAACCCCCAAAAAATGGCAGGGGACGTTGGAAAATGTAAGTTACATGTTTTTGAAAATGAAAGGCCATCACTCTTCATGGTCGAAAGGCCATCAACAATGCGACAAACACCAGAAAACATATGAAATTGTGCGAGTCTTCAGCACTGCCCGTTGCCTACAGCATCCCAGATCCTGCAGCAATCCATCTTTGTTCTTGGGGAAATGAATTGTTTTTGGGGCAACTCTTGCATGGGATGGGGGGGTGGCAGCCCAAGCATCGCAACAAAACCTGGACTTGTATGAAAAGGTACCGGTGCAACAAACTAATCATGATGAGTGTAGTGACTGGAAGTATCCTTCCAAACAGTTCGGTGCATCGATGAAGCTGATCCGAACTGTTGGAGTCCTCAATTGGCATCCATGTTTGCCACGCAGCACCTGAAAGCTTTCGACAGCTGCTGCAGTAGCAGTGCTGCATCTCTTCGGGAAACCTCACCAAATCGCGAAGAAAAACGTGACAATGTGAGTGGACAAAAGCAATTGGACCATTTTGCCAGATTGAAAGTAGCTTCTTCATTTGAATTGGATTGATGCAATCTATAGGTTTTTAGCTAGCTTGAACATGTTTGAGTTTCGGCACTGGAAGAAATCAGGTAAGTGTCGGCCAAAATGTACTGTAAAATAAAGGACATGATTCAGCAAGGTTATCGCCTTTTAGCCACAATGTCAACATAGCTGAACGTATTAAAACAAAACACAAATATGGTTATCGCTTTTGAGAGGGCCCTATCGCTTTTGCGGGTTTTGGCCCATTTCCAGAAATCATCCACCTCTCTTTACTAAAGTAGTCATCGCATGTTTTGGCGGTTGCTCATGTGCTGTTTTGTGAGCTAGCGATTGAAGGTCTATTGCCTGTGAAAGCCCTGCACTGCCAACCAACACAGGGCTGGGAAGTCCAAAATGAGTCGGCATCAGTCATGATGAGTTGTAATTATACACCAGCCGTATGATCTCTATATATATAGTTATATATATATATTTATAAATACTATATAAGACTTCGGCCAAAGATCAGGATCTCACTTCACAACTCCAAAAACGACATCTCTTCCAACCACACCTTGCTTGGCCTCGGCCAATGCCAGTTTGTCACCAACATCGTTCATCGATGCGTCAAGCGGCCTGGGCAGCTGAAACTTGCATCTGCCACAGCTGCAGCCGCCTGTCACGGGTCCTCACCAACAAATTACATGTGAGCTTCGAGCCAACCATCTATCTAGAATATAAATTTGCATTCCGTTTGTCTAGTCAAGTCTTTTCTCTATTTCTTAATATCAGGCACTGTATGGCACTGTATCCTTCTCGTACCCAATTGA